CAGATGGTAACTCCTAAAATTGTATAAGGACCGAGATCAGAGTTGGTAAGGCACTAGAGGTTCGCGCCCGTGTCTCAGTCCACTTTTTTCGGAAAGCCTTCGGGTCGCCGGCATTTGTGATGTAGCCGTTAGGCGTCTCGCCGTCATACGCAGAAGACTTGCATTTGATTCACGCATGAGGATCATTTTATTGAGTATCTTGGTCTTTCTGTTGAGACAATGTACATGTACCTTAGTTTTCTCAGCCCTGGTTGGCCCTGGCAAGCAGGGCCGAAGCCTACCCGTAAATTGTCTAAATTGTGTCGATGGGGGCGTAGAAACGTACATTTAAAAAAAAGATTTTAGATCGCCAGCTCCGTTTCCTTAAATCATAATGAGATGGAAGTTAACCGAGGTATGCTAGAACTTTTTACTCAGTACACATACAAAGTGCCAACCCTGAAACAGTCAACAGCCTTTTGAAAAGGGAAATCAATCTTTTAGCTCATAGAGGACGCGCATTCTGGTCATTAGCAACTCTTGAAGACGCGCTATTTTGGGGCAGTTTAAAAAAGATGCATAACTTCGTTATTCTAACACATTTTTTCAATTCTGTTTACTTAACCTGAAACTTAAAAAGACGGGCAACATTCATATTACAAATTATGCGAATTCAGGTTCTGATTTGTGTATAATGGTTCGAAATATGCTGCAACATTGTCTTTTGTCGGCTTAGCGAGTATAATAATAATTAACGTATCCGCTCGATTCATAACGAGTTAAAAACTATAATGCTCTAGTTAAGCGTGGTCTTATGTCACTCACTTGTTTTCTGGGCCCTTTCTTCCTCCCGCGTCTGTTAGCAAGCACGTGAGAAAGCAACAGGCAGCTCGCCAGGAGCAGGATCAGAGCAGGCTGGACATAGAGCTTCATGGTTCTCTCTTGTCTCAACCCCTGCTGGAATCTCCCACAAAGATTACAACTGTTTCATAGGATGCCACACGTCCCACTACGACTGAACGATTGGAATGCCGAAGTTTGAACCCTAGTGTCCAAGACACAATGTTTTGTGTGTAGATGACGCTGAGAGCGCATCACACTGAAGTGCAGACACAGTGGACTAGCCAAGTGAGCTACGTGGGGCGTCTTCCCATCGTTTCCGACCTCCCACCTCTCAGAGTAGGGGAGACAGACAGACAGTGCTCCTTTTGTTCTTTTTCTGACAGTTAAACTGACCTTTTCGCCGTGTATTGTTACTCATGGCATTTAAAGTCAGAAAAGATGTTATATTGATTTCCATTTAAAGACCACCCTCAGCGAAACCCCATATAATAGTCTCATGAAAGAGTGCTGAACGTTTTAAAATGCTTCCTGATTATATTGATACATTTATAATTGTAGACACAATATAGATCACTTTGGAGTCGGGTGTCATCATTCACTGGACAATGAAATCAACAATAGAGTAAAAAAGAAAGGGAATTCAATGGACGTTGTGTTTTCAGTTGGAGGATCTTTGCAGAAGGCAAAGACCCAGGACCTAGTAACTGCCTCACAAAGTGCAGGTCTGAAGATACACCCGGGAAAAAACAATGTTTCTTAAGATCAACATAAGTGTCAAGGAGGACATTAAGATCAGTGAGGTGCCCACAGACAAAGTAAGCTCTTTGACATCTGAAAAGTGAAATAGGCGGCACGGGAGGAATAATTTCTAATGTCAAGACCAGGATCGAAAGAGCACGGGGAATATTCCAACAGTTGCGATCTGTTTGAAGGTCGGGACCCATCAGGACAAATACAGAGATCAAGATGTCCAATACAAATATACTAAGTGAATCGGAAACATGGACACCAACCAAGCAGAAAGTGAGCAAATAACAGTCCTCCATCAACGGCTGTTTGAGTAAGAAAATGAAAATCCACTGGCCAGACCATCAGAAACCGTGGAGGAAAACCAAACAACCAATTGACAGGGATATAACGAAAATATATGACGGTGGACTGAGTACACGCCTAGGAAACCAATCCACAATTTGACCAGACAAAGCGTAAGACGGAATCCTCAGGGGAGGGGCCGGGATGGGGGGAGAGAAGAGGACCAGGATACACCTGGAAACGAGAGCGAGAGGCAGATCTCAGGAAGGCATAATGTGAAGTACAGCTGGCTAGAAGTTGAGAAGATCGCCCCCAGACTTTAGACAGGTGAAGCGCCCTTCTATTCTTGGCTGCCTTTACCTAACACCAGGGTGAAAAAGTCAGAAGATAGTGAGGATGGGGCAGGTATTTGAATTACTTCGGCTGATTTCTTCTCAAAGGGTCCATCGTTGCACCTTCCGTCTTTTTTCCTAATTCTATGTGCCAAGTTAAGCCTTCTGTTCGCCTTTCAAAGCGAAGTGTACTGCGATGTGGAGACCAGCGCTCAGGAAGCTGCCCCTTCATTCGACACTTGACAACTTATCTCACTCTCGCTGTGCTGTCCTCACCCATCCCCACTGGCAAATTTACAGGGTAGGCCTATCTATAAACAAACAAAAAGAAAAGATGACCCACTTAAAGGGGAATGACTCGATCATCGCTACATTAATTTTTTTTAAAATCCAACCAACAAAATTCAACGTCAAGTTTGTAAATACGAAGAAAATCAATCAGTCTTCGAGAAATATCAAGTTTCAAAATTCGGAACCAAATTAGGTAAAACGCAAAATTTTACTACATGTTCGGCCCGTTCTGGTTTCAGGACAAGGAGGCGAAAACCACAACAGTCACCTCAGACTCCGACAGATATCTACACGTTCCGAGAATGTTTTGTAGAAATTTGGGGAAAATATGTTATGTTGTACATGCTTGGTTCCAGCGGGATGGGCCACAGCCCACACACCAAGAGTGGTAGTGATGTGGTTGTAAAAAAGGTTTAGGAAACGCCTTATAAGACGAAAATTTACAAATGAATGGTTACCACATTCCTCCTAGCTTGAGCCCCTTCAAGTATCAAATTTGGAGGTTTTTAAAAGGCAGGGTGTAGGGAAACAACACACAAGCAATCTCAGTTTTGATCAAGACGTCCAAACAATGAACCCAAAAACATGCCACATGGTTATTCAAAATTTCCAGTGGCGTTTTAGAGCTTGTATGGAAAGTAAATGGTCAACATCTGGAGATTGAATTAGCGAAAACCTTTCTTGAGTTATTAAGCAAGATCCATTTTGTGTAAATTTGTTCTTCAATGCACAATAAATAGTGACTATTTGAAGGAGTACAAAATTGATTAAGGTTAATTTTTAAGAAGGTGAACACTTTTGCGTTTCATTCAATTTTGGTTGAAATTTAAACCTTTTGATTTTTTCGAGCAAATGGATTGGGTTGGGGTTGTTTTTTTCATATTGACAAATGTAACGTCCTCAAGGCTGTATTTTATTTTTGAGAAATTTTGTTAAAATTCATTAAAAGATTACAGAGTTATTGCCCTTTAAGTGGCTCCTTTTTCATTTGTTTTTTAGACACCCGATATCTCTAAATAATATAGCCTTCTTGTGTTTGCTCCACCCTTTTTCGTTTTTAATCTGAACTGCGTGTTGTAACAATGGGGATACTCAGGGGCATAAACAAAAATATCGAACAAGGAGACAGCACCTGCTGAATTGGAGTGATTAATGCTCAGCTGGTCATCATAATGATTTTACATGCAGGTTTACCATACTGTAGGCCTACTTTGCTTAGCTTACTACTTACTCATTTCTATAGTCCTATATAACACAATGTAACATCTGGTTAAACATCAGTAAAAGTCTGCAAATCAGTGTTTGGTAGGTTTTCATTCTTTAAAAAAGTTTCCCTTTGTCATATTCTAATTCTCAATCTTCAAAAATGTCAGAATCGATTTTGGTATCCTAAAAACTGGATAAGAAGAACCATAGATGCGCCAAAGAGTCTGTGAATGGCCGCCATCTTGGAAAATAAATGGCCGCCATTTTAGATTTTCACGTGGCTGGCAATCGTTTATGAAACAACAACCCAGAAGTAATGTCCATGCCAATTTTGGTGCTCGTATGACAATGTGAATGAAAAATAGAGGCACAGATATATATAATATACTCCAAAGAGCCCGCAAATGGCCGCAATTTGGGAATTTGTCGTGGTAAGCGTTCTTTTATGAAACAACAGCCCAAAAGTCAAAAGAAATGTGCATGCCAATTTTGGTGCTTGTATGACAATGGGAATGAACCACAGAGGCACAGATATACCAAAGTTTGAAAGAGCCCGTAAATGGCCGCCATCTTGTAAAATGGCCACCATTTTGGATTTTCATGTGGTAAACGTTTTTTTATGAATCAACAGCCCAAAAGTAATGTGCATGCCAATTTTGGTGCTTGTATGATAATGTGAATGAACCACAGAAGCACAGATATAATACCAAAGAGCCTGCAAATGGCCGCCATCTTGGAAAATGGCCGCCATCTTGGATTTTCACGTGGTAAACGTTCGATTTATGAAACAACAGCCCAAAAGTAATATGCATGGCAATTTTGGTGCTTGTATGACAATGTGAATGATTTTACACTTAGCTGCCCCACTAACAGGGTGTTTCACAGCTGCGCGAGACGTAGTGACGTAGACTGTCGGGATCTGACTTTTCCTAGCTTGGGTCCTAAACGCCGGGAAGGTGGGAATGGGTTGGGAGAGCCGAACAGCAAATACAGTATATTTTTTTTAATCGGAAAGAAGGGGTGGGGGTGTTACGGTCATATTTTAGTAAAATCGAAAAAAAAGTTCAATATCCTTAATGATTCCCCCAAATCATAATATTGGACAGCCCTTCGTTTTCCCGGCTTTAACCCGTATTTTTTTCGTTTCTATTCATGTTCATGTTGTTTTTCCGACCGAGAAATTTGAAAATGAAATTCCCGGCTTTTTCCCGTTTTCCCGGTTGAGTGGTAACGCTGGGACAGGTCAGAGAGAGAAGGGAAGGGGAAGAAGAAAAGGAATAAATGACCAAGATCAGACAAGCTGGGAAGAGATTCCCATTCATGTTTCAAATTGTTTTAATTTTTATTTTTGTATCGGCAAAAGTACAAATAACGCAATAAGGAAATACAAGTACAATTTACATTATTAAAGACTTACAATAAAAAGAATTACATCCCCCCTTCCCCCCCCCCCCCCCCCAGAAAAAAACCTTAACAAAAAATAATAATTTTAAAATGAATCGAATAAAAACACAAACAGCAACAAGAACCTATTTAAATGATAAAAAGCAAAATAACTGAAAGCAACAAAAGATACCTTATTTCAAAATCAATTAACAAATGTTGATCACTCTGCGTTTCATCTATAAAGTATCACATCGACAAATAACGGTCATTTCAGAATAGGAAAAAAAAAAAAGAGAAAAATCACTGAAATAAGAAAAATAACTACACAATCATGTGCTGTTATTCCTGAAATGTCATCAAGCTGATATTTGTGCCAACTAGAAAACAAAATGTTAAATTTTTGTAAACACAAAACATTCCATACAGCAAAAACCAGGCTCTTATGTAGTAAACTGAGTATTGTATCATTTGATAGTTCATCGGGCACCACATATGGAAATTTATCATACAGATAAAAATAAATATTGGACCAAGATAGAATGATATCTTTTGAATACGAATATGAAGACTTTAAACTTTTCAACAGGATGTTCACATTAAGTTCTAAGACATATTCACCACATTATCAACCAAATAACACAACGTTTACTCATGATCCATGAGCCTAATAAAGCCATGACTTGTTCATGTCTCATAGTGTGCATGAGGTGCTCCAAATTGTTCCCGTCTTTCAACTATGTAGAATATAACAACTTAGAAAAAATGAAAATCAAGTATATTGTACAGTATGATGAGGTGCATTGATTGGTTTTAGTTTCATTCTTTTTCTTATTAAAGTAGTACTGGATTTAGACTAATTAAACATTTTGTATAAAAATTATGTCCTGTCTAAAATATTTAAAAGTCTTTTGCTTCTCCTGAAACCCTGTATGATGACATATAAAAGTGATGAATGGTGGCAAAGAAATGAAGCAAGACCTCTGCCAGGCCAGGATGTTACCCTGCTTCAGACTTCCCCCTCCATCAATTGATTGATTGTCTGTTTTACACCTTCACTAACACAATCTAGATCATGAATCTTTGATCCCACTTGTCAGGGCCAACTGGGCTAAATAGGATACAGCATCCCATCAGAAAACAGTGATACTCCATAAAATATTTTCCCCAACTTAGAAATCGAACAGAAGTCTCTTGCATTAAACCATAGATGCTGTCAGAGTGCTGACACTGGTACTTGATCCAGCCTAAAGGACAAGGACAAGGTAGTTAAGTCAGTCATGGTAACATATTCAGAGTTTGATAATGGTCTAACAGTCTGACCGCTCATGTCATGGACAACAGGCACACTATCATCAGTGCTTGTGAACATCAATAGTAGTGGTACCATGCAACTAAAACAAAATAAAGCAGGTGAAGTTACAAGGAGCCAAATGTGAAATACACCAATTCACTGGAAATCTCCTTTTGGGGCGAATTTTCCCCTTAATTTTTGTGTATTGTGTGCACACAATGAACCACCAAATTTATTAATGGCTTTGTACAGCTATATTTTTGTAAATTGGCATGTCATTCTTTCGAGAATATTACACCCCAAACTTCTTTCGCGATGTACAAACCATGAAAATTGGTGGCTTCCCCTTCCAAAAGGCCCCCAAGGATGATTTTGATGTCATACTTAAGGCAAACATCAGGTTTAAGCTGGAGTATATCAGGGAAAATTTAATAGTTGTATCAAAACCACAAGAAACCAAGTTCTCATTCAGACTGTCAAAAAAACACTCACCAACAATTTTTTTTAAAGTGCAAGCAATATAATTTTATGCACTAATATTTTCTCACATCAAAATGCTATATAGGTCTTAATATGATTTGATTGAACTCTTCTGTTCACACATATCACATGCGCTTTCACTTTCAAAGGCAGAAAAATATTGAAATTGCTCAACAGCCTTGCAATAAAACCTTTACTGAACACATAAAACATGGGAGAGTGGTAGAAATCCCTGGAAATAAAACACAGACTTGCATTAAAACTTCTGTGAATAAAACACAGAGGGGCGGATTGGAACCTAATTCTTTACACAAATCACCAAAAGGTAGAGACACAGTTTGCATACCCTCAAGACGATTGTCAAAGCAACACAGCAGTCCTTAGAGAGCATTGATGCAGATACAAGTGCGATCCAAAAAAACACAACATCTGCTCTTGAAAAATACTGTATCCCATGAGCTAAACATTTCTCACATAGTACACAAACAAGCATGCTTAAATGTAAAAAATGCAATGGTGTGGAATCCATTTACAATGAACTCAATTAGGTCCTAAAAATGTCACTTCAAACAGACTCATCAAAATAATTAATAAATAATTAAAAACTGCAGAAAGGTGGAACCAACACAGGTAGAAATTCAGGACAAGACAAACATTTGACGCTTCATGAAACTTCTTACAGTTATAGAGTTTTTACATTGTTTAAGTACTGAAAGAGAAATGGTCTTGTTCTTAATTTAAAAGATGCCTTCATATGAAACACTTCATATTTTTGTTCAGGTGCACTGGAAAAGAAGCTAGGGCTGAAGCTGAAAAATAGAAATGGATATTCAGCTTTCACTAACATAACAACTATACTATTGTTACCAAGGAAAAAAATTCCCGGTAACAAAAACAAACTGGCAGGTCATTTAGAATTTCATGACATAAAATCAAAAGACTGAGTAGTAAAAATTATTTGTACTTCAAAGACAGAACTAATAAAAAATATTTCTCTGTCCGTTTGACTTTCAGTTACACAGCATCATTGACAAATAAGATCCTGTATAAGATCCAGCATCAATGAAATATACAGCCAGGAAACTTGTTAGAAAAACAGCAAGACTCATGTAGACAAAGAAAGAGCAAAAGCCAACTGCCCATACCCAAACGTTCTATACAGGCTCACATGAATCCACCATCCACTACTGGAAAATTAGGAGAAAGGACAGATAGATCAGTCTATAGTCGAACTTGTCCAAGACAACCAACCATTTATTGAGGAGAAAAGTGTTCATCTTAGACAGGTGGTCTTTTGGAACAATGTCATTATGTATAATAGAAAAACTGCAAGGGGGGAGTGGTTGTTCGTACAGCTGAATGTCTTGGACAGGTAGCCATTACAGCAGGTTCAACTAATTTTACCAACATACAAAAAAAAGCAGGCACACTCTCAGACATATAGCTGTGTACATAGAAATATCGAGTATAATATATTCCTCTAACCATTTTGAGGCTTCATATTATAATCATTTTGTAATTTGGAAAATTATGAAAGATATAATAATAATAGGCAAGTAAAGTGAGTCCATCATATACTTTCTGGACATGGTACAGACAGAATTACTATAATCTGCCTCCTGATTTCCTGCCTAAAAACATGAAAGCTTTTCACACCAGAAATAGACATTTTTCTAAAACATTTCCCAAACTTTTTAGCACAAAAATAAGGGCAACAGTATTGTCATGCAAACATTCTGATAAATACAAACTTACAAACACTAAAACATCAACTTTGAGAACACATTTTGTTTGGGAGAGGACAAAAGTCATAAATGAATAAAGAGAACTTGGGCAAAACACATCTATTAGATAAAAACCTGGGGTGGAAACCATCGGCCAAGAGTCCAAAGTCTGAGATAAATTTCATGAACAAAAAAATGTTAACAATTTAGGTCGCCCCAGAGGACAACAAAAAACATAAAAATGCAAACTGCAAACGATTCAAGACCTGAAGTAGATATCATATTTAATTTAAAATTGAGCCATAAACCCCCGTTTTTTGTGTTTAGAGATACAAGTGCACATTTGCATTTTACTTTTTCAACCCTTTCAGTTACACTGATAGAATATCAAAATAAATATCTGGAATGTTGGGTTGTGGAAACATATCACAAACATGCTGGAATAATGATCTTAGCCTGATAAAGGCCAAAATCCAACAGACCCACTATGGCATTCTTTAATGGCCTACCACCATTTCAGAAGACGGTGTAAATACACCAACAAGTTTCAAAGCTGTTAAGATGAAATCTTTATAGACAGGGTCAGCAAAAACATGAAGAATTTTTAAAAAAAATCAGTTCACTCAAAACTAATTCACGACTCAGGCCATCATCTTAGTTCAACTACAATCTGTCATTATGCTTCAGGAATCATTGTAGCCAAGGACTAAAAGCTATGAATAAACCATTTATATGTTAACAGTTTTCATTTGCTTTAAGAAAAACAAAGCAGTTTTATCTTTAAAAAAGGCGTCCAATTATTTTGCCTGAGAAAACAAAATTTGTAACGTCAGACTTTTCACAAATGCTATTCCATTGCAGTGGTCAGTATAACGCAATAGATGGGCCTACTGTCTACTTTATCTCTGTATATCTTGGTGTAAATCTAGCAGTCCATCCAAAAGAGCTCAAGTGCAAGCATCCTGAGGGATCCAAGGAGGCTTTAACATTTTTGAATGGGTAAATACAGGCATAACATTACTACACAAAGATTTTTATTTCGGAATGTTGAAGAAAACAAATCTAGGCAAATACTAGATATATTGCAGTTTATGGCAAAATGGTATAATAATGGCTACATTTCACCAGAAAATGATGAGAACAACAGAGACATAGACAAGAAACAGAAGAAGCAGAAAGCCCCCCCCCCCCCCCAAAAAAAAACCATTACTAGCAGACAAAGAGCTATAAGACGACAATCTTATCTTCTACAAAGGGGGGAAACCTGAAGCCTTGGACGGATTTATGAAATGATTCTATCTTTCCATGGAAGCATCACATAATCACTCAACCAAAATATGTACTTTAATCCAAAATACAGAATTAAAGAATTTCAAGATGGGACAAAATAATATGGAAGAATCATTTGTACAAATGCCCTTTTTTTCCTAAAAACTAGAAGTTTTAAAAGCTTTCCCCTTAATATCTTAATCGGTAGGCTCTCCAGGAGCAACAGTCTAGAGAATTTCATTTCAACAGAGCAAGCTTTCTAGCTCCAACAGTTCTAACATGAATCAACAACCTGTGACGATTATCACAGCCAAATAGAATGCATGGCACTTTAACAAACCATCACATTATACTGACAAATATGAAAGAATGCACAAACACGTTTTGGTACAAACCATTTCTTCTTCCAGCTCACCCCACCTATTAACAGCAGAAACAAAAAAATAAACTAGGTACATTATTCAATAATGACACAAAATAATATTCTGAGGAGGACAGTGATTTGGTTCAGCTGACAAAAAGTTTTAAAGCAAAGAAACACAGAAAAAGAAAAAGGACCTATAAAAATATCCTTGGGGGAGACATTTAAGTCATCAAATGAGATCAAGAGAAAAAGACAAACATGGCAAAATGAACCCTACTTTATCACCAGAAACAGTGAACACAAGTGCAAATGACCACTATATTATCATCGATATGGCATTAAAGTAAGTACCGATATTGTACTAAACATTTGAGACATCCCTTGGAAAAATAGATTCTTCCAAAGTGTGTGCCACTACTTGTCGTATATCTCTGTATTTTATTTCTATCACTAATACAAAAGGTATTCTCTGTAATCTTATTTTCAACATTATGAAATAGAATAACAATGAAACCAGATTTTTTAAAATCCAATTCTAAAATGAACACAAAAGCATAACATGCCTGTTGACTGATCCCCAAGCAAATAAATAAAATGGTATATAAAATCATAACCTGAAACAGAGCAGCAAACCAAGATGTGATAAAAGTTCACATTTCTATGAGTTGGTATTTTGTTTCTCATTTCACCAATCCAATACATGGACCTAATTGAGACAATGTTAAAAAGACACAGAAAAACAAACCTCAGTTTAACAAAAGAACCATCTACTCCATTTCCCTACTTCTTTCTAATATGTTCATGGAATACAAGTTGGTATCATCGTTTCCCTTATCCATGAGTGCAAGTTCTTTACACATTTATCATCCATATTCCGATATTATGTTGTCTATGAATTGACCAGACAGAAAAACAGTGGAATTTAAATCGTTTTTGATGATATACTCCTCAGTTGATTTTTATACAACAAAAAATAAAACACCTGTAACAAAAGGAATTCAGATATTACAATTTTTCAAAACAGTACTTAAAGACATCTTATTCAGCTTCATAATTATGTTAGTCAAAAACCATTGTCGGTATCCATTACTATATTTTTCCGTTCACATCTCTTCGCAACAAATAGCAACAGTCAACACAATATGTAACTTCCAATTTGGAAAGACATTCTACAATTAATTAAATTGTAAACATTTCAATTGACTTCAAAGACAATATAAAACCAGAAGGTACAACAAACTGAAACGAAACGAACTGGTTTAATGTTAAAAACAACCACAATTTACAGACTCATGGCACATGACAGAACAAAATAATCATTTCTTGTGAGTACAGATCTGCTGTCAAAAGGCAGGGTGATGAAACTGCACATTTCATGATTTTAAGAAAAATGCTGAAAAAAATGTTGACATTATTGAAATCAGCCACTTGCGTAGATATACCACTTTGAAAACTGCTATTTTGGATGTAAAAACATCATCCGACTCTTGAAACAAGAAGGATATGTGGCAAGACTAGTGAAAAAGGGCAATAAAACAAAAAAACTCAACTCTTTCAGATATTTCCCTTTGCCTTGGGGCGGCAGAGATGTGGGGTCCGCAAACAGGGAATTTGAGAGTGAATGTTAACTTGACAAAAAACACAGGGCTACTGGTACTACCCTTCTTACATAGAAACTGGCCACTACATCCCAGAACTGACTATATGCCAGTACTATTTACACAATTACTATTACCACGATATTTGAATTTCGATTTCAGTTTGCAATTAGTTATATTTGTAGGCCCAAAGAACATATATCGGAAAAAAAAAAAGGTGACTGCCATTTTAGTTTCAGGAATCTGCGTTTCTGAGAAACTTTCAGTAGAATATCGCACACTCCTCTGTAGAGACCAAAACATTTCAGCATGTTTTTAAAAATTCTTCATAATCATTAAATGATATACTTTTTAAGCCCTATTTAATGTCCATATTCTCATTCAGAAATTTTCCTATACCTTGGAGCACTAGCTATGCTCTCATCACCTCCATGACAACACGGCAAACAACAACAAAAAGATCTGCAAAAACCATTTGAGCTTCCAGTGGCATTTTCCTGGCTGTTCTGCATTCGTGCAAAATAAATAAACACCTGCTCAAGAGATGTCTGACTCACAAGATAGTCCTCGATTCCCAGTTTCTCTTTGGCACGTTCCATCTCACCAAACACCTGTGCCCAGGACAAGCTGGTGTCCCTGATGTGATAGTTCACCATGTTCTCATGAACGTCCGTCAGTGTGCTGTGGGGGAATGTCTGTTCCATGAATTCTCGTAGAGGACCCAGGTTTGGCAGCCCAGCCGCACCATCGTGTTCCTCTGGTATGGCAACTTTAGCTGTGAAGGTATAGCCTTCGCCAAACTTGTTCTTGAGGTGTTGGATGCTGCCAAGGCACTTGAATTGTCCGTTCACCATGATAGCTAGGCGGGTGCAGAGAGCTTCACACTCTTCCATACTGTTGAAGAAATATGAAAAAACAAATCTTTTAAACAGGAAATGAAGAAAGCTTATCACTGGAATAATAAGCATACTAGAGTATAGACAAACCCTCTCCTGAAACAAGCTAAAGCAATATTTCCTTCTTTCCCTAAATTTGTTTGGCTAAACACGCAATGAATTAGGCAGTGTGAAACTGCAAGGAGCAGGTACCATCAGAATGCATGGGGAAACCACAAAAAACTTAGGTGTTTGAAGTAAAGATCTGGGCCTCATATTTAATATCTTCCCTTGTTTTGAAATCTTCTATTTGCATATATAAATCAATCAGTCCTATATAAATTCTGTATCCAATAACCAGCCCATAGGACTGGACAGAATCATCTTCATCAAATCTGGTTTCTGGAAACCCAAAAACTCCAGTAGAGAAAAGAAAAAGTCACCTGTGAGACGTGAGCACGAGAGTGCGCCCGCTGTCCCTCACCATGGACAGCACCTCCCACAGCATGCGACGAGCCATGGGGTCCATTCCAGTTGTTGGTTCATCCAAAAAGACCACGTCCGGATCCCCGATCAGAGCTATGGCTGTGCTCAGTTTCCTCTTGTTGCCTCCACTAAAGAGAAAAATGTAAAACTTTCAAATGGTTTCTTTTTTCTCCCCCCAAAAAATAACGAATAGAATTAACTTTAATAATCCCCTCAGCCCACAGGGTAACTCCCCCCCCCTCCTCTCCCCCACGCCACCAGGATCAGAGTACCCGGGCTCTTTAACTCCTTATCTCTGGCAAGGCACTCCCAGCGGCTCGCGGTCGGAATCGAGGTCACATTCCTTTATGAAGACAATTTTGACACATTATTAGTTCTCAGAAATTTCCGAAAACAAAGTCTCTTTTACCAGGAGTTCTTTCATAAGATGAAGAACTATCAAAACAGCTTCATTAAAATTTAAGTCGTCGTCCTTTTTCGTATACGCATTTCTACTCAGGTTCCGACAATTATGTCGGAAACGCCGACGTCGGCAGTTGGCCGTCAGCACGAAAACGAAAGTGCCGACAAAGCCGACGGGAGAAAAGGGGGGGCGCTGGCAGTCGGCCAGGCCTCGCACTAAGCACATTGACTGATGCAGGTGGGCCTAGCGATAGCATTGGCCGGCTCACGGGTCGGGTGGCGATTGTTGGATTTCAGACGATTGTCCGTAAACATGCAGGTCTATTCATTTGTTTTGATTTAATGACTGATTTAGAGACATACAAGTCACTTTTAGATTTCATATCAAAAGAAGCCCCAGCATAGTAGTTTTCCCTCTCAGGAGACTTAAGATGATTGCTAGATCAACACCACCTCATGAAGGAACATGCATTCCCTGTGTGTGGACCTTGACACATATAGCCTAGCTCTGATGCGGCAGAAATTTCCAATTTGAATTTATATAAAGATCAGATGAGTATGAATTTGTATGTACACACACACACACACATACATCTACAAAGAGAGAGAGAGAGAGAGAGAGAGAGAGAGAGAGAGAGATGACTCACAGATTCATAGCTCTAAATACACATACAAGTAAATCACCAATAAAAAGACACTTTTCAAACACGGATCACACAGCAGAATCATTTCCCTTGATGTTGGACTGTCAGAGCTATTTCACAGAGGAACTCCATTAAACCACCTGCCCCATTGCTACGCCAACTTCATGCTCGTCCCAAGAGTGGCAGTACAACGGAGTTTGACTGTAGAAGTCCAGCAGAGACTGACTGATAATAATAATAATAATAATAATAATAGATAGCATTTGTATAGCGCATATCCCCGCTCAACAGCAGGCTCTATGTGCTTTACACTATATTATTACCCCAGCAGACCATAGAACACTCCGAAACATTCTCAGCTTCCCGGGAAGCATATAGTGCGAGCAGCCGATCAAGCGCTCAAACACTAACAAACTGACAAGATCTTTCGCTGTCTATAGCCGGGTACCCATTCCCACCTGGGTGAAATGAGGAAAATTCGTGTAAAGTGCCTTTCCCAAGGACACAACGTCGGGCCCTTGACGGGATGCGAACCCACGACCTTATGGTTGCGAGTCTGAGAGCCTAACCACTAGGCCACCGACGATGATAGCAAATACGTTATGCCTCCATCAACACAATTTGCATCATTTAGGAGGTGAGCTCACGCCATTCCTGTCGGAGTCGAATAGGGTACAGGCTACGACCTCCGTCGAGGTGTCTTTTTTCTACATCACATACACAGCGAGGTCTTGAAAACAAGAAGGCTTAGATCGCCAGGCGGGAAGATGAGACATTGGAAAGCTTTGAACTGTCCGTAATTTAATAATCTAATGAGAATGTCACGTTTTTTTGGTGTTTTTTTTTTCTTGTTGTTTTTTTTTTGGAGGGTGTTCATAGTGTGCTGCTATGATTTATCAATTCATGTTTTGTTATTTGGTTTTGATCACAAAACAAGTAGTAGCATGGAAACCACCAAATAAACAGCTAAAATCTCCCTTAAACCTCATTCAGTGCAGTCACTGCATCTACCCGAGTCTGAGGTTGAAAATAGTTTCCCTTTTTTCAGCTACCAAAGCTTGGCAGCTCTCCACATTTTATTAATAACTAGAAACAAGTTACACAAGGTCTTTGTTGTTGTTGTTAGCGATCCAGGTTACACAAGGTCAAGCATCCAATCTTCCATCGTACAAGCCAACAAACAGCAAGTAAGAAGTCGTGTCCCCTTTTAGGTGCTTTTTCAAAGCACTCTGCTTTATACTAAATCTACTTAGCACAAAGAAAATCTCTGGTATTGGGAAGTTGATCAGAGCTCAGTGTCAATCCTTCTTCACCTGTAGGTCTGGCACTGCTTGTCTGCATACTGGGTCAAGGTGAGAGCTGCCATCATGTTCTCCACAGCCTCGGGAATCTCTTTCTCGACCACACCCCGGAGGCGGGCAAACAAGGTCAAGGTCTCTCGCCCAGTCAGCTGGTCAATGAGTGCATCAAACTGCGGGCAGTACCCAAGTCTCTTCCGGGCCTGAGCATGAGAGAGAGGAGAATATACAAATTAGCACACAACCCTGTCAGAAAGGACTTTTGTTTTCATAATAGTTTTACGGCACTTGAAACACAATTAGGTCATGTAAGTGCCGAAGATTAGGTGTTACAAGAGAGTAACAAGTACAACAAAGAGGAAGGAGAGATAAGCGTGAAAGACTTTGGATAGGAAAGAAGGAGCAAACCACAACAGAGCACCCGCCAACCATCCACTCAGAAAGGACTGAAGTGGGTGAGGAGTGCAACTCTAGAGAAGATGAAAAAATTGACCAAAAAAACTCATGTTATTGCATGCACAAGGCAGACTAGACAGCTAGGTTGTCTCCTGCAGAGAAAATAACCTACACAATGTGATTTCCCTTCCTACAAACATTTTAAAAAGTAAGCACTTCAAATGCCTCCAGAACAGGAAAAATAAATGTCTCACTTTGAGATGAAATTGGGTGCTTATCAAATTAATGAAATTGAAGAAACCAACATATTTCTGACTGTTGGGCAATACTTTTAGAATGCCTTTTTTTCTGCTCAGCACTTTTTGATTCCACTTAAAAACACATGTCGGAGTGAATTTTTATGAAAAAAGTTGATCAAATCACACAAAAAATGTAAATCTGCAGTTTCCAAGGGCACTTAAGCTTTGGAGTCACTAATCTTTGGAGGTCATTTTCTTACTAATTTCACCTGTGACACCAGATGACTCCCACTTCCTTCAATCTCAAATATGTTAACTTCCGTTCAAGAAAGATGGGTACCTTTTTTTATCAAAAGCAAGACGAATGAACAAGCTTTAAGATTATACCTATATTTCCAAATGCCCGAAAATTGATGAGCCCCTGATTCCATTATGTCGGGACACAAATAGAGTTACACCTGTCAAAGACAACCACTCATTGTCAATAAGAAAATGGTCATCTTAGACAGCTGCACTTCTTGGATAGCGTCATTACTGTCCTTATATTACGTCAGGAAAAAAAGACAAAGTGGAAATTAGGGAGTGGTCATTTGTGCAGGTCATTGTTTTGGATTGGTGGTCATTAGAGAAGGTTCCAAGGTACATAAATCTCAAAGAAAGGTGGTTATCAACTCAGAGGTAAAGGGCATGCTAAGCGTACCCTCATACCGAAACACCAGGCTCAATAACCCTTTCATCAATGCACGTCAGTGGAAAACAAAGAGTTTTTCTCAGCTCTCTCATCATGCTGTGAATCACATAATATGAGGAACTCAGACAATCTGAGTGACCTCTACAACTAATATTATTATTATCATAACTATTATTATCATTATTATTATTATTGTTATTACTATTATTAACATTATTAGGAGAAGGAGCAGGAGAGGGAGAGGGAGAAGAAGAAGAAAAAGAAGAAGAAGAAGAAGAAGAAGAAGAAGAAGAAGAAAAAGAAGAAGCAGAAGAAAAGGAGAAAGAGAAGGAGGAGGAGAAGGAGGAGGAGAAGGAGGAAGACAACAAGAACATCAACAACAACAAATAGAACCAAAAAAAAACACACAAAAAAAAAAGCAAAAAGCATGAGGCCACCTATCCTACCATCTCTGTCTCTGTCTTGAGGTTGTAAGAGTCGAGGTAGGCCTGACCGCTGCTGATACTGGAGTCCCCAGTGAGCATCATGAAAGTGCTGGTCTTGCCCGCCCCGTTGATGCCCAGCAGGCCGAAGCACTCCCCAGGCGGGATCCCCACACTCAAGTGGTCAACGGCACGGAACTGACCATAGTACTTGGTCAGGTTGTTTAGCACCAGTTTCTCTGATCTGAGAAATAAAAGCCACGGGTCACAAGGGTCACAGAGGGCAGTACTTATGGGGGAGTGTGCGATGTAACTTTCCCAAGTGAGTATTGAACTAGTAATATCCTTTGCATGCAATGGAAAAGAGCCTAACAGTTACACTACAGACGATGGTGGTGTCCATTTGTCCTTGAACATGATATGTTTGTTTGTTTGAGAAAAGAGAATCACATCAAACAATTATGCTCAGTTAGTGCAAGGAAAAAGTAAGACAGACAAAACAACAAAGGGAAAGTAAGAGAAGTTGGTCCTACCAGAGTGGCGATCTCCAACCTACCCCTTTCCGGAACAGATATAGTCATTATTGTGCTACTCTGAAGCAAACTGAAGCTCAACAAACTCTCTCTTACATCAGCAGTTACAACTGTTTCCTAGTATCTGTAGGTTGGTTCCTACTGGTAAAGTCAAAGTAGCCCATTTCCAGTAAAAAAAACACCTATATATTGGTAATGGGACAATAATATCAGTATAACACGGAAAGGTCGAACACAGAAGACTCAAAATAACGCTAATGCATCTGTCCAACTGTGCCTGAGGTCCAGTTTTTTTTTTTCTACTTTATCTTTATAAGATATCCCTCAAACTACCGAGGCCGGTCCCCACGAATATACATATGTGTCACGACGCAGTGGAATCAGGCTCTCGTCAATTTGGGGGCATATGGAGTTATTGGTATCATCTTAAAAGCTTGTCCATTTGCCTTGTTTTTGATGAAAACAGTATCTATTTATCTTGAATACAAGTCAAGACATTGATGATTGAAGGAGGAGGGGTGGCCTGGTTTCAGAGGTAAAGTTAACGAGAAAATGGCCGCCAAAGTTGAGTTATTTCCTATGCTTGAGAGCCCATGGAAACTGAAAATTTAAATCTCTTATGCCTTCAATCGACGTTTTGCAGCACAATCCACACAGAAATGTGTTCTTTAAAGGGCATGAAAATAGTGAGCCAAAAAACAAAAATTCTATAAAAATTCCCAAACCAGCAGAAAAATGCCAGTTTCTTCACTTTCACTATTTTGACGAGCGCCTGATTTCACCATGCTGCCTCACATATATATACATTCCATTTGTCATTTTGCTGTTTTCCCACACAATGAACCAATTCCTACGCCAAGACACTTCTCTGTAATAAAAAACTAAACATTACACAAAGGTCACCTGACAATTGCCTGGCGATCCATATTGTCGATGCGCCCTCTCTCCCTGGCAACATCTTCGTCCTCCTGCACCACACTGTCCCGACTCAGTTGCGATGTGAATACTGCACCCGGAGGGGGGACTTCTGTCCTCTCACTCCCCGTCATCTTATACCACAACTGAGGACATCAAACATTATCGCAAGAGTACTAAATTATACAGAAGAATAACTAAATATTTATTTTTCCTATAATCTATCACTTTGAATTTGAGTAAAACAACCACAGTCAGGGAGGAATGAGACATTCAGTGAGAAGTCAGGATACAAAGAGTTAAAGCAGGGGAATTACACACAAGAAATAGATTTTTTTGAAAAGATATAAACATCAGTGGAGAAAAACAAGCTGAGATTTTGGAAAAAAAACTGCTATTCACAATAATTAAGGTTGAAAAGCAGGAGCAAAACTATGCATACATCTCAATCACCTGTGTCACAATTTATTTCAGGTAAAAAGAAATAATATTTTCGAATCTTTTATTACAATTTGTTTCACAATGTCAAAAGAAAGGGCGCACAAATCAAACACTATGAGTAACACATAAATATGAAATAAAACCACCCAAAAACGCACCACAGCAGGTCACCAGAAACTCAACCTTATTTTTTGGAGATAGAGTAAAAGTGTCTTGCTCAAGGATATACCACACTGACTTTTTCAAGTGACTGAGCTCACTCATCCATCACTCAAAAACGTAGGCAGGTATCCGTATGAGACAGTAAAAACACAAAACTTCCATCCATTTGCTCACGAAATAATAAGGGGAAAAGGTACATTAAAGATTTTAACTCACTTTCTTTAACCAGCCATACTCAAAGGAAAATATCAGAACCCAAAGACACATTCCCTGCACAGTCAAGAAGAAAAGAAAACGTCCAATTCCGCCTTTCTCCCATCCAAGATAGTCTCTGTTGAAAGTCAGGCAGAATTCCCCACAGATTCCTGGGAAAATGTAAGACGAATCAACAGTGAAAATCAAACATTGGAAAAGAAACAACGGCCACAACTGTCTCAAGGTAAGTCAGAGGGAGGTATAATGTAGTTAGATTGATTTATCAAAAGAAAGCTAATGCCTTCAAACCACTTTAGAAGAATTTTTAGTTATGTGAAAGATTTTTATCAATGCACAGGAAAAGTTGATGAAATACCTTTCCAAAATTTGAAAACAACAATCTTATCCGTCCATCATCATGGACCCCACAAAAAATCATCCCCACAAAAGAATCTCCTGCAGCACTATATAGTTTACAGTTAGCAACATAGATGAGCTGTGAGTTTCTCTCCATCCACCTCAAATACCTGGTACATTTGACTGAGGCAGTTTTTCAAAGGTATATACAGTGGAGTCCGCTTGAAGTGAACTCTTTGGGACCAGTAGAAAGTGTTCACTTTATCTGAGGTTCAGTTGAACCATTTTGGTAGGGTGGAGGCCTAGAAACAGTAGCTATGCGCAGTGGTGGGTCTAGAGTGGAGGGACAACACAGAGGGCAAGCCTAGACTAGAGCTCTTTCTTTCTGATAGAGATTGCCGTCATCAACGGCGAGCTGAGATTTGTCTGCCAAGGCCCGAGGCAATTAATTTGTGACACGGTCGGTCCGTTCTTCGCTTTCACTCATTTCGGGCGTTCACTTTATCCGATTTCCCCATGAAATTGGTTCATTTTATCCACTATTCTTTTACTTAAACCAGTGGTTTTCAAAGTGAGCGCTACACCGCCCGGGGCGGTGGCGATAGTTTGGGGGGCGCTGTGACGAAATTGGGTGATTGGGGGGCGGTGGTGGGCTTTAAGGGGGCGGTGTGAAATTTTCATGAAATGCAACATAAAAAATGGTAAAGGGAAAGAAGCCACAACAAAAACAAAAACAAAAATTGATAACTTAGGCATAGTTTACAATACTACTTATTACTAAGAACTTTCTTTCCCAGCCAGCAAATCTGACAAAGATCTGGCGTACTTCAAAACTCTAAAGATCAATTTTCAGAAGTAAAAATCGAATAAATCGATGTTTGCAGCCGACATCGATCAAGCTGATGAAGACTTACGAGCAACTTATAATTCATCTCTGCTAA